ATCACACATGAGAAGTGCAAACTCTTAGACCTTACTTTCAACTTAGTTTCTTGGTCTTTAATTATGAAACCCTGTCTCATTTTCCACTGAACATCTAAAATTATTTTTAAAAAACAACAGCATTATGAAACTTAGGTTTAAATTTGGGTTCCCAGGTAACATTTGGGAGATTTGGGTTCATCACTATCTTGCTCAGTCAGCTCTTCGCAATTTCCTCATGTATATGAGGATGGGTGTGGGGCGGGCCAGGGTCCTCTGAGGACCTGTCCAGCCCTGACATTCAGTGATTCGTTGACCACTGAGCTTATGCTTCACTTCTAGGTTTCAGAGGTGTGCTTGGCTCCCGACTAGAATGGTTTGACTTTTCTCATTCCCAACATCTGCTATTCCCATACGTTCTAGAAATTGCATTCTGACATACCTGTATCACGTCACTGTCTTTAATGGCCATATACCACATAGCTAGCCAAATAAGAAGCAATGGTTAAAAGTCAGACCATCTGGGTTCAAAAGCAGTGTCACTACTTAATTAGCTAGTCAGTTAACGTTTGTGTGTCACAGTTTCCTCATCTGCAAAATAGGGTTAAAAATAACAGCTGCTTAATATGGTTTTTCTTTTTAATTTTTTTTTTTTTTTTTTTTTTCTTTTTTTTTTTTTTTTTTTTTGGCTGTGTTGTGTCTTTGTTGCTGCGTGCAGGCTTTCTCTAGTTGCAGCCAGTGGGGGCTACTCTTCGTTGTGGTGCACAGGCTTCTCATTGTGGTGGCTTCTCTTGTTGCAGAGCACGGGCTCTAGGAGCACAGTCTTCAGTAGTTGTGGCACGCGGGCTCAGTAGTTGTGGCTCACGGGCTCTAGAGCATGGACTCAGTAGTTGTGGTACACGGGCTTAGTTGCTTCGCAGCATGTGGGATCTTCCCGGACCAGGACTCGAACCTGTGTCCCCTTCATTGGCAGGCAGATTCTTAACCACTGTGCCACCAGGGAAGTCCTGATATGGTTTTTGAGAGGATTTGCTGAATACATATTTGTAGAGTTCTTCCAGCTGCCTAGTAGATAGTAAGTGCTATATAAGTGTTTGATTAAATAAACTAAAAATAGCAGTCAATCTAAATCCCAGGACCCGGGACTTCCCTGGTGGTCCAGTGGATAAGAATCCACCTTCCAATGCAGGGGACGTGGGTTTGATCTCCAGTTGGGGAGCTAAGATCCCACGTGCCGTGGGGCAACTAAGCCCGCATGCTCTAGAGACCATGCGCCACAACTAGAAAGCCCACGTGCCGCAACTACAGAACCTGCGCACTCTGGAGCCCGCATGCCACAACTAGAGAGCCTGTGCGCTGCAACTACTGAGCCTGCGTGCATGCTCTAGAGCCCACGCGCCATAACAAAGAGCCTGCACGCCGCAATGAAAGTTCCTGCGTGCTGTAACTAAGACTCAACGCAGCCAAATAAATAAATAAATATTTTTTAAAAGAATCCCAGGACTCGAGTGAAAATGCGCAGAGGAATTTGTGACTGGGAGTTGGGGGAGGTCCCATTTCATTAACCCAGTAGTTACAGTTACCATATTTTCTAAATCAAAAATCAGGTCACTTTGTCTGCAAAATATTTGAGTTCCACTTCGGACTTCAAGCCCTGTGAGAAGAACTATCAAAACTGGGTATAATGATGATGTTTTTTAAGACTGCAAGAGTCTTTGAAATTGGAAACAAACACAGTACATATAGGTATTAGGTACCCTCATATCTTTCAAAAGAAAAGATCATTCAGTATTCTTCCAAACAAATGAACCTCTAACAGTTATAAAAATTCTGTCTAGCACAGAATATCTGTTTAGGCAATCACTGATACATTTTCCCCCTACCTCTATCTCTCTCTACTTCGAAACAGCAAAAACTCACTCTATGCCCAGTTCTCACACAGCCAGGGTCACCTACAGTGAATGCATTGATGGTGGCCTGAATCATTGAAAGAAAAAGAGGGAAAACCCTGTTGAAAGCCTACTTCATTTCAGCCATGTGTAAAGACTCTCAGTCTTATTCAAACCTCAAAACAATCTTTTGTGGTAGGCATTATGATTTGTTTTTTAGGCTGAGGAAACCTAGTGTGGCGAGAACTTTTGAAGGTTCACCCTGGGCGCATCTGCCTTGAAAGTCCGTGCCCTTTTCATTCTGCCCTCTGGCATGGTAAGGTAGCATCCCTGTGGTCCCTTTTCTGACCATTCACTGTTACCAGCAAAGTAAGCAACTCACTGCTGACTCCTTTCCTTAGCTGCTGTTTGTTTGCTCATTCTTTCATTCGTTCAGGGTGTGTGACCTTGAGAAAAAAATTCACTCTCCTTTCTCCTATTCTTTTTCATTGGAAACAGTCATATTGGTAACTTACCTTAGGATCAGTCTTGGAGGTGCAACAGAAAAGACTTTAGGAAGGAAATGGTAGACATAGCATCTACAAATGTAATGGATCCCAAATCTGTATCTTCCCCTGGGAACCCGCAGACCTGTGGACCCCGCAGCCTCCTGGACAGCTCCACGCAGATGTCTTGCAAGTCGCTTATGCTTAGCATCCATCAGTCAGCTGACGTCTGGGTGAAGAGGGGGAGGAGAGATGGCCAAGCAGACAGAGGAAGAAGTGCCTCTGAGGAGGCAGGTCCTGAATCAGGAAGGCGCTGGGCGTGTCTGAGGAAATAAAAGCAGTTCCAAAAGGCTCGAAGGAAGAGAGCAAGGGGGGAACGGGTGGGGAATGAGGCTGGAGAGGCAGGCAGGGGCCAGACCACAGGGTCTGTGAGTGAGGGGCTGGGCCATGTCAGGTCTGTTCTGGTCCCTCAGCTACCATAAACTTGCTGAGTGACCTTGAGCAATTGATATGTCTCCCGGGGCCTGAGAGATGGAGTTAGCAACACCACTGCACGGGGATGTGGAGAGGATTAAAAAGGGACACAAGTACGTGAACACGTAACTGGCAGAGGGTAAGCATTCAGTAACATCTTCTTCCATTTTTCTTGGGGCCCTGTCCTTTCACCTGTGAAATGGGGGTAATTTGACTGACTAATTGTTGGAGTTTCTTCCAGCTCAAAATGACTATGATTGTTTCTGAACTGGTCTCCCCCTTTTTCCACCGTTAGCTCCATTCCAGACTTTTCTTCTTCCTGTTCTCAAGCCCAGGAAACATCACCTTCCCCTGGGAAAGACAGAAGCCAGCTTTATGCAGCCAGGGAGGGGCAGTTCAACTGAGACCTCTTCTCTTCCTCCACCACCCTACTTACTCTCATCCGTTCATTCATCTATTCACGTACAAGACATTTCGAGCCGCCACTATTGTGTGTGGATAGACTCTCACCCCTCAAATCTTATTCCTTTTCATGCCTTTTCATGGGCTCTGGTTGATTGGGAGAAACAGTGCATGGTCAGGAAAGCCACAGAAGGATGCTGGTGTATTGCAGGCAGCCTCCCTGGATTAAGGGAGGTGTTCTGAAAATCCTTGCACGTAGACAAATGGGGCGTATTTGCTTCTTATTTGAAATTACTGGATACAATTGCCTGCAATTGGTCTATTTAATATTTTTGATTTTTCCTGTACTCTGTCAATTACCCTGATTGCTTCTAGGTAAAAACTTCAATCAATCAAGTTTTAATTTCTCTTTTATGTCTCTCCCCTAACAGCTGCTCTTCTCTCTTAATAAGAAAGTCAAGTCTGGAGCACGATGCATTGAAGCCCATTTTGGGGTATCAAGAATATCCCAATCTAGTAGTAATAGTAAATGTTTAACAACTGGATTGATGTGGAGGAGGTGGGCGGTTCTGATTTGAAGCATGAGTCACTTTCTCTGCTATAAATACTACCCCTGTGGTGCACTCCAAGCTCTCCAGGCTTCCCTGAACGGAGTCCGGCAGAGAGGCTAACAGTTGGTTCCAACACGAGACCGTAATCTTCATCACACTCCCTGACTTCCTTCCTGGTCATTCTGATTTCAGTTAATGGCACCTCAGTCAGCCAGGAGAGAGGCCTGGCAGTCACCATTAACTCCTCTCATTCAATCACTAAATCCTGTTCATTTCCCTCTCAAATGTAGAGTCTGTCCACTTATCCATCCCCACCGCCGGCGCCCTGGTCTGGTCTCCCGGTCCAGCCTTCTTTCACTGCTCCCGCACTGACTGCCCTTCTGGGTTTTCTCTGCCCTCCATCCTTACCCTGTTGACCAGTGTCCACCCTGCAGACAAAGTCAACCTACTGAAACTTAAATGTCATGCCGGTCTTCCCTGTCCGTGACCTTCCCTTGCCATTAGGATAAATTCCAAACGCTTAGCGTATTTTACCGGACATGGCCCAGCCCCTCACTCACAGACCCTGTGGTCTGGCCCCTGCCTGCCTCTCCAGCCTCATTCCCCACCCGTTCCCCCCTTACTCTCTTCCTTTGAGCCTTTTGGAACTGCTTTTATTTCCTCAGACACGCCCAGCGCCTTCCTGATTTAAGGCCTGCCTCTTCAGAGGGGCTGCTTCCTCTGTCTGCTTGGCCATCTCTCCTTCCCCTCCTCACCCGGCTGTCAGCTTGCAGACTCCTCTTATCTTCCGGCGGTTTGCTGTCCTGTGTCAATTTCAGCGTGATTTGCTAGGAAAGGCCTTTGCCTGGGTGGCTCTCCTTGTCTGCTCAGTGTCTCCTCCCTTGAGGGCCTGGAGTGACACCTGTCTTGTTTGCCGCCATATTCCCAGCATTGCCCACAGTACCTGGCACGTAGTTGGTGCTCCCTAAATGTTGAATCCATTTCTTGGATTTCTGTGGGCCCCAGTTCCCTATTAAAGAATAAACTCTTACAGGGTCAAGCATGTTCTCCTTCCTATACTTTTTATCAGCACTTTATCAGCTTAGTACAAAAAGTAGCTAATGAATAATTTTACCACTAAATTTAATCATTTTCCCCCCACAAGGCATCTTGGAAGATAATTTTCTGCTTTTGATCAAGTCATGTTGTCTTCCCTAACCAATTTCTTTTTTTTCTCCTAGATTTCATTAGCTGTGATTCCCAAGTAATATATGGAGCTGTGAACAAGAGTGTAACTTTATACACATCAAGTTTTAAACCCTTTAAGGAGATTGTGTGGAAAAGAGGAAAGGATAAAGTTGTAGAATGGGATGACCAATCTGAAGTCAGAGCTTTTCTATCTTTTAAAGATAGAGTTGACTTAGACACTGTGTCGGGTAACCTCACAATCAACAAGTTAACACCATCGGACGAAGATGAGTACGGAATTGAATCCCCAAGTGTTAGAAATAACACCAAGTTCACCCTCAGAGTGATCGGTGAGTATGCCATAAATGGGTTTGTTCAAATGGCAGATTTCTAACTGTTTTAAGAGACTAATACTAATCATTGGTTTATGAGAAATAAAAATTAGTCATCACCTGTTGTCAGGGTTTTCCTCTCTTTCCGGTACACAGGAGCCACTTTCAGCTCCCTTGTCATCCTCTTGGTGAGGAGAGGATGTGACTGAGGTCAGGAGAACAGCACACGTTGGGCAGAGCTGCTGGCAGCAGCATCCCTTGTCTTGCTGGGAACGGGAGAGGGATGTAGTGGCATCAGTGAGCTCAGAACTCTGAACCATGGGTAGTTGGTGCTCTATAAATTAAAGTTCCTGCTTCCCCTTGCAGCTCACACAGGAGGTGGGGTTTTTTTTTTCCCCCTCTTACCACTTTAAACTGGAACTGGGGATAGGATACAGGTTCCTCTGTGCTTCTCGCTGATGTTTCCAGGTTATTCTCCTTCCCTCATCTCTAAAGCACTTTCCTTGTTGCAGTCATCCGGAGGCTGATGGGTACACTTTAATGTTTCTTTTTTTCCCCAGTTTTATTGAGAAATAATTGACATCCATCACTGTACAAGTTGAAGGCATACAGCATGGTGGTTTGATTTACATGCATTGTGAAATGATTACCACGATAGGTTCAGCTAGCATCCGTCTTCTCATATAGATACCATAAAAAGAAAAGAAAGAAAAAAGGAAAAAAATGTGCTTCCTGTGATGAGAACTTAGTATCTTCTCTCTTAACAACTTACCTACATACCACACAGCAGTGTTAGCTATAGGCATCATGTAGCACATTGTATCCCTAGTGTTCACATATTTTATAACTGGAAGTTTATACCTTTTGACCACTTTCCGCCAAATCCCCTTCCTCCCACCCTCCACCTCTGGTAACCACAAGTCTGATCTCTTTTTCTATGAGCTTGGTTTTTTTCTTTTTACATTCCACTAAATCTAAAAAGATTTCTAGAGATTTCTCTCTTCTTAGAGATCATACAGTATTTGCATTCTCAGTCTGATTTATTTCACTTAGCATAATGCCTTCAGGGTCTATCTATGTTGTCACAAATGGTAGGATTCTCTCACTTTTCTTTTATGGCTGAATAATAGTCCATTTATATACACCACATCTTCTTTATCCATTCATCTGTTGATGGACACTTACAATGTTTCCATGTCTTGGCTATTGTAAATAGTGCTGCTAAGAACATCACCCCAATATTTCCTGATTGTTTTAGTGCCTGGTTCCTTTTCACTGTTTCTGATGTTCCTGCTGTCATAGTTCTTGGTGCTTTTGTAATATTTAAATAAAAGTTCTTTCTAATATCCTGACTTCTTAGTCCTTGATCTCCTCTCCTGTAATGATCTTCTCCTTCACTCTGTCTTACCTCTCCCCACAGATATAATGTAGAACTTGTCTTTACCAGTGATTCCATTCCCTCCATCACCTCAGTATCTCAGTTCCACTTCCTCTGCTGGAAGCTCAGTTCCTCTGCTCTGCCAACTCTGACAGTCCTTCCCCCACTGATGTCCTCCCTGCCCTCTTTCTGCGCCCCAGTGCCGTGCTCACTTCCTGGGCTCACTCTGTTGCAGACACACCCAGCTTCTTTGCTCCTTTTCTGATTGGTCGTGCTCAATGATTGAACTTTGACTGGACGAGCCCAGTCCAGCCAGGTGCAGTCCAACGTTCTGTGCTCATGCCTTGTAGCTGCAGAAAAGCACATCACCTTGCAGAGTCCCACACTTTAAAATTCTGATGATTTACTGCAGCTAAACCCAATATATTCCTAGTGTCTTCACTCACCCACTCCCAGCAGTTTACCTTTTCTCTCCTCAAACCTTGAACACCTCCTTCTCCAGACCCACTGCTCAGCTGAAGGCTTTGCTTCTTGTTTCACTGAGGAAAACGAGCAACCAGAAGAGAACTTCGACAAGCTCTCACCACCAGCCTATCTGCTTACCTGTGCCTGACCCTGTATCCCCTGTTCTCTACCATTCCTGTTCGGCAGTTCTTACTTTCAGCTTGCTGAGTTCTCATCTGGAGCCAAACCCTCTACTTGTGCCCTGGATCCCACCTCCTCTCATTATACTCAGGGATGTCACTTCTGTAATTCTACCCACTCTCTCCTTACAGTAATTTCCTCCACGAGATAATGACTCATTCCCATCAGCATACAAATAAGCGATTATCTGTACCATCATTGCAAGCCCTCTTCTGGCCCCTCTACTCCTCCACCTACCACCCACTTTTCTGCCTTCAGTTTATAGAGAATCTACTGGAAGAGCTGTCTACATACCCCCTTTCTCCTATTCACTTTTAAGCTACTCCAAACGGGCTTTCATCCCCACTGCTGTACCCAAACTCCTCATGACTTCCTCATGAATAAATCCAGTGACTCATTCTCCATCCACATGTTTCTCTCAGAAGTTTTTGAAACAGCTAATCACTCCCTCCTCTGTGAAACATCTTCACCTTAGCATCCGGGCACCACCCGACTCTAGTTTCCTTTTAAGTCACTAACAGTTCCTTCTCAGTTTCCTTTGTTGGTTCGTTCCCTTATCCCCTTGCATCCCCCAACCTCTTTTTTTTTTAATTTATTTTTGGCCGCGTTGGGTCTTCGTTGCTGCGTGCGGGCTTCCTCTAGTTGCGGCGAGCGGGGTCTACTCTTCCTTGCGGTGCGTGGGCTTCTCATTGCGGTGGCTTCTCATGTTGTGGAGCACAGACTCTAGCCACATGGGCTTCAGTAGTTGCAGCACACGGGCTCAGTGGTTGTGGCACGCGGGCTCTAGAGCGCAGGCTCCATAGTTGTGACGCACGGGCTCAGTTCCGTGTCCCCTGCATTGGCAGGCAGACTGCTAACCACTGCACCACCAGGGAAGTTCCTCCCCCAACCTCTTAACATTGGCGACTTCAAGGCTTAAGCCTTGGACCTCTTCCCTTCTCTGCCTGCATTCACACCCAGGTGGGTGGGCTTATCACATGTCAGGGCTTTAAATAGCATTCAGTGCTGATAGTGCATAGATTTAGAGCTCTAGCCCAGACCTCCACTGAGCTCCTTAGGTGTTTATCTGACTGCCTCCTCTGTCTCCACTCAGATATCTAAGTGGCCTCTCAAATCTCACATGTCCAGAAGTGAGCTGATGACCTTTCCCTCAAAACCTGTTCCTCCCCAAGCCTTCCCCCTCTTGGTTAATGGCAGCTCCATCCTTGCAGTTGCTCAAGCTGAAACCTTGGTATCATCCTTGACACCTCTCTTTCTCTTGAACACCATATTCCCTCCACCAGAAAATTTTGTTGGTTCTGCCTTCAAAATATAACCAGAATCTGACCACCTCTCATCATGTCCTCTGGTCTGATCCAGGACTGCTTCATTCTCACCTGGAGGATTGCAATAGCCTGCTAATTGGTCTCCCAGCTTCCACCCTTGCCCCTCTACAGTTTAATTTTAAACACAGAAGCCAGAGTGGTCTTCTTAAAACAGAAGTCAGATCACATCACTCCTCTGCTTAGAACTTTCTAGTGGCCCCATCTGACTCTGAGTTACAGCTAAAGTCTTTACAGTGGCCTACAAGGCTACATGAGATCTGGCCCCTGTGACCTCCCCTTGCTTTTCTCAGATGTCCTAGTAATGCTTTTGCCTCATAGCTGCCTTTTCTCTGCCGCCACCCAGCACAGCTCAACCTGTACCCATCTGTCCCCTCTCCTGCGTCACAGTTTCACTTGTTTTATCCAAGATGTGGGTATAGTTCTAGGCCTACTTCCTCTATGTTAAAGGGTGTTTTAGGAAGATCCAACTGGTGGCAAACTCTGTAAGATGGTTTCCAGGGGATGGAGAAGAGGCAGAGTGCAATATAGCAGTTCAAGTCTGAGCTGTTTGAGGTGGTCTCAGTGGAACAGGATATAGCTGGGTGAATAGCTGTCCCTCACCGGTTCAGCTACCCAGTATCAGAGACAGTGGGAGGGAGAGAGAATTTCTCTGTTGTTCACCGTTGTACCCCCAGAGCCCAGCAAAGGATTTGAATAGGTAATGGGCACTCAGCAGATATGGAAGCAATTGATCAGGATGATTGGGAGGTGGGATGTACAATTTAGAGTAATGGGGGGGGGGCTCTCAGACTGGGTGACTGGTTTGTCCAGGAGATGATGAACTCCTTTTAGATAAGTGAAGCTTGTTAAGGTGTGCAGGCATCCTGTTAGAAGGATCAAGCAATGCCTTTGAAGAAGCAAAAATCCTTAAAACCTGCAAGCTGGAGATTTGGCAGTTGTAGGGCAAGCAAACAAAAAGATTGATTCAGAATTTAAATTAGAATAGAATGCATTTTACGAGCCCCTGTATAGGGTTTGTAAAACTGAATTCAAAACATTTAAGTTTCTCTTTTTAAAACTTGATGAAATGTTTAAAAGTAATAATTTTTAAATAATTTAATTGTAAAAATTCCATGGGAACTCAACAAAGGTGCTTGATTTTGGTAGTGAGACTAACTGGATAGTCCCTAGGAAGCTCAGCAAAGGCCTGCAGAGGAGCAAGGTGCAGGGGAGGCAAGTTTCAATCAGGAGGCACTGAGTGATATTGGCCGTTAATGTGTTGACTTCAAGTTCTGGTTTGGGAATCTGGGTTTTAGCCTGTGGGAGTGGAGAGCCACTGTATCTGATACTGGAGCAGAGAAGTGCCTTGATGAAATATATTTCTGGAAGGTTAATCAGATGGGAGGTATTTACGGTGGATTAGGAAAAGGAGACGCCAGGTTGGAAGCTACTGTGATCATCCAGGTAGATAGAGGTGTTAGTAGTAGATGTTTGGAAAGGAAAGAATCAGAAGACACTTCCAAGAAAGAGTTAATAAGATTTAGATTTTGGTTATAAAAATACATACGTGAATGTCAAAACGATTAGTCATACTTTTGTTTTTAGAAATGAGGAAGTCATACTTCCATGATGGTGTGTTAAGACTAAACTAATAAGACTCAGTAATCTTCCGGAGACACCAGACCCTTTCAGAAAGGATATTTTAGACAGGGGGATTTCCTGGTACCTGTAGGTTCAGAGCATCTATGTCCTTCTGTGTAAGTGAACATCTGGCTTTCCTCCTTCCCTCAAAGTCCCCTTAAAAATTTCCACCATCAGCGTTTAATAGTCCTTGCCCATCCTCTTATAACCTTTATTGCATGGAGGCTGGTAATGTTCATATAAGTACAATTAACTGCTCTATCCTTAAAAGGTCTGGACTGGCATATGACTTTTTATTAAAGTTTATGGAAATATAGAAATGTCATCAGATATGTATAAGAAATTCTCATTTTTTACAGAATAGTGAGCTGAACTCATTAATTATAAATTGACTAAGTTGTCTTAGGGCTGAAGTAGGCACATTTCCTGCCAGTTGCTTAAGGCACAGATGTAACTAACATTTGTTAGATTATAGCTGTGGTAAGTCCCGTCATGGGCAGTGGGACATTGGCTGAACTAGATCAATAAACTAGAATCTGTAACAGAACAGGTGAACTTTTCATCTTCCAAACTCAAACTCTGTACCCATTAAACGCGAACTCCCCATTCCCCCCTCCCCCAGTTCCCTGGCAACTACCATTCTATTTTCTGTCTCTAAGAATCTGGCTACTGTTAAGAACCTCCTACCAGTGGAATCGCGTAAGATTTATTCTTTCGTGACTGCCTTATTTCACTTAGCATAACATCTTCAAGGTCCATCCATGTTGTAGCATGTGTCTGAATTTCCTTTCTTTTAAGACTGAGTACAAATGTGATTTTGAATGATCCTGGTTAGGATTATCTGTGGTGGGTTTCCAGTAGACCATGGGATTCTGAAGTGATTATTAGAAGAGGCTCCAAGTTGCTACTTGAGCACTGGGTTCAGCAGTCATTTCTGCTCAGGACCTGTTCTTGACCAAATCATGAAGCATGGCTTCTGGGCCTTCCAAGTGTCCCCTCACCTTCCTTATCCATTTTCCCTTGAAACCAAGCTTCGTTGGTGCCTGCTTCTGCCGCGACTCACCACTCGTCACCCTGCTTACTGATAGCAGGTAGTCTGCAGTGAATACACACTTGTGTGTGTGTATGTCTTAGAGTTCTTTTAACTAAAGAACACAGCTTGAAGGCAGCATGTAATGCATTATGTGAGCTAGATTAAACTGAAAACTTGAGGAAACGCCAAGCAGAAAGCAAAGTCGTGTGTGACTCAGGTCTAACAAGACAGGCTGGGTGTGTTATTTAACTGAGCCAGAAAGAAGTCAGGAGGAGAAGAGGGAGGCAAGATGAGTTGAACATATTTATTTTTTAGATTATCAAGTGGGGCTTGTGTTCCTTTGTCTTAGAAAATATTTTAAATGACAGCATAGTATCGCATCATCTTGATGAACTTTAATTCGCTTTTTAGTAGATGTTTGCAAGGTATTGAAATTTTATTATCCAAATGCTACCATGACCAATTTTTGTATATTCCATATATTTTTACAGGTTTCTCAAATCTCTTGTGATTAGTTTTTGGTGGAAAGGAGAGATGCAAGAAGGTATATGAATTAATAAACCACTGACTAATGGGGTGAGCCGATTGGCTTTGAGGTTAAATTTAGAGGGTGATAATGGCGTGTCATGACTTTTGTCTTATCCATCCTTGCAACTCCAGCTGCCTTAGCCAGCAGGAGGTGCTTCCAGAATAAACCTGGGGGTGAGGCCTCTAGACCGACAGGGCTGTGACAAGTGCCATGCCCTCCTCTACCTCAGAGCAGGGCCAGCCCACAGTACAGCTCCTCAGAACCTTTTGCAAAATCCTTTGAGTCAGGTGTGCTTTGGAATTCAGCCTTCTTCAGATTTTAGAAAGGCAATAGATATAAACTGTTTCCTCTGTGTGTGTTAAGAAGCACTTCACTTAGTTGCGGAGAGCCGCTTACTCAAGCATGTAAATATTTTTAGTAAAACATGGTAATAAATATTTGTGAAAAATCTTTTGGCTTTCGGAACTCTTTGGACTTCAGAATTGAGGATAAGGGATTTGGGGCCTGTATCTATGCTGAATTTGAGCAGATAGATCTGACCCAGAAGAAGAGAGAATTCTCTCCCCTTGGTGCTCAAGGGGGTGGACTGCTCGTCTTTTCAAGCTCATAAGGAAGTTGGGAGCTCTTTCTTTTCTTCTTTTTTTTTTTTTTTTTTTAATTTTTGGCTGTGTTGCGTCTTTGTTGCTGCGCGCGGGCTTTCTCTAGTTGTAGCAAGCGGGGTCTAGTCTTCATTGTGGTGCACGGGCTTCTCATTGCAGTGGCTTCGCTTATTGTAGTCCACAGGCTCTAGGGTGTGGGCTTCAGTAGTTGTGGCACACGGGCTCAGTTGCTCCGTGGCATGTGGGATCTTCCCGGACCAGGGATTGAACCCGTGTCCCCTGCATTGGCAGGTAGATTCTTAACCACTGTGCCACCAGGGAAGTCCCTGGAAGCTCTTTTTGAATTTGCAGATGAGGAGTCTAAATATTACTCTTTTCTGTACTAAACATTACTTTTTTTTTTTTCCCAGAGTCTCTTCCATCACCAACACTATCTTGCACATTGACTGATGGGAACATTACACTCCAGTGCATGATCCTGGAAGATTACAACACCCATCTAGAACTCATACAGTACTCCTGGGACTGTCCTTCAACAGTACAGTGTCAGAGTGGCTCAAAACCATCTGAAGCGTATGTTACAGCGGAAGGTGATCTTTCACAGGAAATTCAGTGTATCATTAGCAATCCATTATTCAGAAGGACAACATCAATCATTTTGTCAACCTGTGTCCCAAGTGGTAAGTGACTACGTGTGTCATGGTAGAGATCCTATATACAAGTGGGGTTCATGGACCTACATACAAGTAGTGGTTCATGAATTTCATACCACAGATGCAGTAACTAACATACATTTCATAAATTTGAAACTTAAATTGAGTTACAGTTTTTACAGACACTCTATTACAGATATAAAGCTAATATTTTTTAGTACTTTCTGTGTCAAGTACCATTCTAATACATATGTTAATTAATTCCATCCCCACGCAATCTAGTAATTATCCTTATTTCATGAGGAGAAACCAAGACATAGTTGGGAGTTTAAGTTGCTTGTCCAAGGTCAACAGCCAGTAAGTGGTAGAGCCTGGTTTTGAAATCAGGCCATCTGGCTTCAGAACCCATGCTCTTAATTATTCACAATACTACTTCCTAATATCCTTCATTACCATTGTGTTCTTCAAGGTTGCACACGTGCAACAGGAAGGTGCCTTCAGGGACTTCCCTGGTGGTCCAGTGGTTAAGACACCAAGCTCCCAATGCAGGGGCCCCAGGTTCGATCCCTGGTCAGGGAACTAGATCCCACATACATGCTACAACTAAGAGCCCGCATGCCGCAACTAAGAGCCCTCATGCCGCAACTAAAAGACCCCACACGCGGCAACGAAGATCCTGTGTGCTGTAACTAAGACCCGGCACAGCCTAATTAATTAATTAATTAATTTTTTTAAAAAAGTGCATTCAATACGTTTGTCTAGGCTAACACTCGGTTAATAGCATGACAGTCTATCTCGGCTCTGGTCTTTTTATGTTGCTTAAGTATCATGTATATTTGTAATTTACAATTCTTCTTATCTGTTTTATACATTATACCCCCAGTTTATAAACAGACGGATCAGTAATTTGAAAGTGGTTCACTAAAGCATAAGAGATGAAAATAGTAAATACTGTATTTCAGGATAATATCACAATTGTGAGGTGTGAACAGGATTCTAGGGCAGATAAAAAACGTGAGTCTCCTTGGGCTGGGGTAGGGTGATTCTGCGAATAAATTTTTTTCTTTTTTTTTTAATATTTATTTAGGTCACTTAAGTAATGGAAATAGAATAGAAATTTAAGTCTTCTGATTTCTGGAGTTTTTTTCCATGACACCATCCTGACTCTTTATATTATGTATCTCAAAATAAATCAAATAAAAAAAATTTTTTTGGACTCATTCACAGGAATTGGCTAGTGAGAACCATACCATGTTAAATGAAAGTACAGACTGTGGAAGATTTTGTAGGACTGAAGATCAAGTTTCTTCAGTAAATAAATTATAAGGGGAGTAAAAAGAGAGGTGATGGGGGGACTTAAAGTTTAAGGAAATTTAAGAAACATATTAATTAATTGCAATGTATGGACCTTATTAGGTCTTGATTCAAACAGAAAAGAGTGAAAAACAGGAGCAATTTAAACAGTGATTCCATGTTTGATGATGTTGAACACAATTTTTTAAGTCTGACGATGCCATGGTTATGTTTTACAAAGAATCCTTATCTTTCGGAAATACATACTGAAATGCTTATAGCTTAAAAATTGTGCTCTCTGGAGTCAAACAGGGGCTCGCACCTCTAATTGCTCCATAGCAAGTGGGAGGGGAGAAGGAGAGGGATGGAGCCTGGTCCTCCCCTTTAAAGATCAAGTGTGGCATGCGTCAATTCCATTCACACCCCCTTGGCCAGTCTGAGTTCATGGCCACATCTAGCTGAGGGGGGCTGAGAAGTGCCATCTTTTGCTGGCCATGTGCCCAGTTAAAACACAGGGGTTCTCCTCCCGGAGTGAAAAGGAGAGATTGCTTATTGGTGAACAGCAAATGCTTCTACCACAATATACTACAAAATGAATATAACTCATACAATTTTAAAACATATACAAAATCTAAAAAACTTAAAGAATGACATAAGTAGTAAAAACAGATAGAGGTTCTAATTTTTTTTGCACCTCATTGCTCATCTTATGTTCTCCCTGGGGTTATGTGCCTAATTTGGAAACTCGGTCTAAGCAAGAGAAGATGGTGTCTTGGACTAGCAGAGTTGGGAGAAGTGGTTCCGATTAGGCTACGTTTGGAAAGTAGAAACAGGATTTTCTAATGGTTTGAGTGGAAGAAAGGTGTCTAAAAAGAAATACTCAGACGACCCCTAGATTTCTGGCACAAGCAACGGAATGAATTGTGTTGCTATTGGACTGGAAAGCAGGGGAACAGCAGGTGTGTGGAAGAAATAGAGTTTGGTTTGGGACCTGTTGTTTGAGATTCCCGTTAGATTTCAAATGGAGACGTCAAATACGGTCCTCTGATTTATGAGTCTAGGTCTCTCGTGAGTGGTTAGGGCTGGAGATGGAGACTTGGGCATAATCAGAGTACAGGAGGCATTTAAAGCCTTGGGACTAGAAGAGATCATGTGGAGGAAGCAGTCGTCAGAGAGGGGTGCTGAGACTGAGTCCTGAGGACTCCCGCATGTAGGGGCTGTTAAGGGCAGAGGATCCAGCAAAGGAGACTGAAAAGGATCGCTAGGGAGGAAGGCAGAAAACCCCAAAAACTTGGTATCTCCAAAGCCGAGTGAAGAGAGAGCGAGCAGCTGTCAGTGCACCGGCCAGGTCAAGAAGGAAGAACGTCATTAAGAACTTGTATCTTTGTTGTTTCATCTCCCCTAAATCTCTGCTGTCCCAAAGCGATGACGGCATCTGGCATCATCCCGTGGGAGAAAGGATTTTGGAAGGGACTGTATCAAGTAGCGTTAGATTCAGCTGTTTAAAAAATTTTTTTTAAATATCAGTGACTTAAAAATGTAGATTACTTCTTTCATGCTAAAAAAAAAACATTGGGGAGGGAGGGATAAATTATGAGTTTGGGATTAAAAGATACACACTATTGGGCTTCCCTGGTGGCACAGTGGTTGAGAGTCCACCTGCCGATGCAGGGGACACGGGTTCGTGCCCCAGTCCGGGAGGATCCCACGTGCCGCGGAGCGGCTGGGCCCGTGAGCCATGGCCGCTGAGCCTGCGCGTCCGGAGCCTGTGCTCCGCAACGGGAGAGGCCACGGCAGTGAGAGGCCCACGCACAGCAAAAAAAAAAAAAAAAAAAAAAAA